CGGGAGGCCGCCCTGGCCTCTGGCTTCGCGCCCTCTCTCAAAACACAAAACAAGGCGCCCCCAAAGGCTTTGGTTTCGCCTCCTGCCCAGGCGCCCGGGGCTTTGCTTCGGCCCCAAACTCCCGTCCCTGCCGTGCTGCTCACTCGCTGGCCCGCTGACGTTTCTGAAAGAGGAAACGTCCTTCCCCTGCCCCGTGAAAAGGTGGTGGAAGATGGGTATGATGGTGCTAAATATGCCAGCTTTTGAACAACGGGAGAATTCGCACTTATGTGTGTTAAACTGGCTTGCGTATTCGCTCTCACGTTCCGCTTGCGTGCGTACAATGCACAGCTAAGGAAGCTTGGCTAGGGTGTTAGAATGTTTTAGATGCTACATTTTAAGAGTATTGCCTGAAAATTTGTCATTATTCAGAGCATGAGAAATCAGGTGGCGTCCAAGCAATCTAATTAAAACTTCATGCTTTCGTTTCAGTCAACAATGTGGGAATGTCGTATGCCTATCCTGAATATTTTCTTGAAATTCCAGACCTGGATAAAGTAAGTGCTTTTGTGGTACCTTCTAGCATTCTCATTTTTAGCACTAAATGCTTAATTGGATTTCGTAAAAGCATTTAGTTTTGGTTAAGGTACTCGCGTAACAAGGTTTTCTAATCAGAATTAAGGGTTCAAAAAGCTAAGAGATTTTACATAAGCAACATAACACAATTCGGATGATGTCAGCCTCAGGTTTCTGTGTTGTTTTTTACTTACACTCTTCCTTGCTTACTCATTTTATATTTCTATTTCAGACAGATGCTCTGGGGTCAATATCTGAATTCCACTCATTCATGTCCATGGTTTCATCTGGCGGCCGCTCCTGAGCTGCTTTGGCTTGTGGGGAGGTTCTTAAGTGACTGAAGGGAAGGGAAGCAAGTGACTTCATGAATGGAAGCTGCATATTCCATAACGCTATTATGAAACTTAAATATGACAGTTTTAGGTGTTTTTGTAATGTAGGGACAATCTTGGTTGCATCGAGTACTTTGAAAACTCTGACTGTGAACACTTTCACTGGTGCATGATTTTGCTTCCAAAACCCGTGTAGCTAACTGTATTAGCTGTGGGTTTGTGCTTTCTGCTTAAGTATTGATAAACGTATCTGGTTTTTGGTTCACCTTCAATTAAGCTTCATAATATTTAGCAAACCCCCTCCCTTTTTTTTACCTGCTTAATAAACTTTTAAGTCACTAAAACAGTCATGAAACGGTGAAGAGTGAAGTACAGAGATTAATTTATGAACATGCCTAAAATATCAGAGTTTATTAAAGTTCATAAATATTGCAAGTAGTGTTAGGAAATACAGTGTTGATGCGATATATATGGGTTGTTCTTTATTGGTCCCTAATCAGAGATAAAACTTGACCAAGAGCAATTCACAGACTTTGCTTTGAAAGTCTCTCACTTCTCCTGATACTTAAGCAGGAAGGCAAGGAGTAAAGGTGGATGTAGAAGTGTAAGGTTTAATTTATCCTGGCACTTGTAAGCCAGAGGGTGTGTAAATATTGATCAAATAACTCGAAACAACAGAACTCAAACCTTTTGGTTTTTTTGCAGGTGATCGACAAAATGATAAATATTAACATCATTTCTGTCTGTAAGGTAAGTGCCCCGTTACCAACACTTGTTCTCAATGTCTTAATTCAAAACCAGTAAACAATTAAAATTCAGTTGTCTGAAGCAATTGCTTTTACCTGTTGGACCACAGGTTCATTTTTTATCTTGGAGTAACCCAGGGGTTATGATTGTTACATTGGACTGTTCTGATTGTTGTGTGAAATATAGTTTTTTTGCAAAGATACCTATTAGCTGTTTAGAAGAGCAAGGCACACAAAATATATGTGCGCAAAACAACATGTAATGCTTCATGCTTGTCATTCTAGTCCTTCTTGGGAATACTTCATTCTTTTCCCCCTGTATCTGTGTGGGGTAGGCAACCCTTATCTCTGCATACCTAAGATTTTTTGTACACTGCAGTGATAATATTTTCTGTGAAATATATGAGCAAGAAGGAGAACCAAGTATCATGAAGTGTGCATTAACTTTTGAAGTAAAGTTACTTTCCCTTTTTGATATTTAAACTGAAGTTTTATTGGGAAGAAATCAACCTGACTTCAGGCTAAAATATATGGCTGTTCACTTGTTTATTAACATGAGGCCCTTTCAAAAATCAGATTTTCATCCTAGTATTTCAAAGGGGCAGAGGGAATAGCAGCTGCTTACCTGACGCAAGGAGTCAGTCTATTACCAGTGACTGCCGAAGAAACTCCTTGTGATTATTCCCTGCTAAACTTTAACTTTCTCTTCTTATGCATAACAAAAATTGCATCCCCATTAGCTGAGGGTTAGCCTTTTGTCACAAAGCCAAAATATTAGGTGTTTCAAAGCTGACTTGAAAGATTTGACTTTCTTGCAGCTGTTCTGATTAGGTTAAGGACTAAATTAATGTAGTATGGTGCTCTCAGGGAGTCTAAACTGTAGGTGTTTTGTTTCCACATGAGGAGGCACAGGGTGTCTTAAAACGATGCTTCCGTAAGATTTTCACACCTTGCTAAAACATAGGCAAACAGTGAAAATGCAACCGTTGCGTGACTGAATGGGATTGTTAATGCCAGATTGCTGCTGCCAGCTCTCACCTTCGTGTGCGTTTTATGTGACATCTTGGAACTACTTGTTGCAAAGTTAGAAATGCTACAACGGCAAGTCTTCAGAAGCTTTCCACCTGGAAAATGACTGCTAACCTGATGAGCACTGATTTTACTTGACTGAGGATGTCTTGCTATATGGATGTTCGCTGTTACATTGTCTTGTTAGGATGTTTTAGTTGCCCGTGGTGTCTTGTTGCACTCCTGCAAGATTTTCATCAGAGGAGTCAGTTATTAATGGGCACCTTTGAAAGTTTCTCTTATGGAAGTCATTTAGCAGACTTTCTTTAATGTTAGCACGGCTACAGGCCAGGTGTAAATATGAAGAAGTGTTGCCTCTTAGCTAGAGATTAGTGTAATCAGAATGCCTCTGTTAAGGTGTGACATCTGTGCTGTGCCAGCAGAGGGAGTGCACTATTCAGTGATAAAAGAATTTGGGGTGTCAGTCTTCCTGGAAGCATTTTGTTAGAAGAGTTACGGATTAAATACTCTAATACGTATTTCTGAAGACGGTAGGCTAGAATAATAGTCGAGGTCTACTTTCACTCGGTATAGACCTAAAATTCCAGAGATGCGGCCAGACTGTATTGGTTTCCAGAATAAACTAGCGCTGTTTTGTGGCTTGAGTCTTTGTGTTTATAATCAGTGGTGGTTGACAACTTAAAAAAAAGTGCCATACGGTTTCTTGTAAAATTTGCATTGTGCCAGCCTTTTCATATTCTAATGTGGTTGTCTTCACACATATAAAAACTTTTTTCTTGACCGTTAACAGCTCCTGCTATTGGGTATAATCAGAGTTTGAGCATAAGCTTCCAGGCTTGAAAATGTTTCCTCCTGCATGAGCCCATTGTGTAATTAAACAGTAGGCCTGCCAGATGCTTACTGTTTTGGGGAGAGGAGCACATTAGAGATATGTACCATCTGTAAGTCATTTTTTCAGGAGAACCCATAGAACTAGAGAATCATGGTAGGAACAAGTAATTTTAGAAAAAGTCTGTATGTCCTTCCACTTAGATTTTTTGGGACATAATCCTGTGACTATTCGGTAGTTGGTCCTGCTGTTCAATACTTTTCCCCACTGTAAAGGATCTAATTCTATTAAATTTTCTCTAATGTTTGAGAACTTGTTTTCCTGTCAGAGCTTTTTAAACATGTTTCTTTCCCAAATCCTATTCCATGCTGCTTGCCCCCATCATGTCCTTAGAGCAGTGTTGGGTTAGGTCACCCGTGAACCCCACAGTGGTCCAATTTTGGGGGTCAGTCAGTCTGGCATTAAGTGTTGTGATTATTGTGGTCTGTCTCCAAAGCACCCTCTGCACCACTGAAGACAAGCTATGTAAAACTATATAAAACATGTTGGAAATCTCACCTCTGGTAAAATACTGGTTAAAAAACCCAACCAAACACCACCCTCTCCCCCCTGCCCAAACTACAGTAGGTTCTTTTTAAGCTCTCTGGAAAATGTCACATTTTTATGGTGACGTGCAGTACAGGAGCTACTCCATTCTTCGTATAATATACAAAACAAGAAGTGCCTTGAGTCTTGATGATGCTGTAAACAGAATGAAGAATTTTTGTTCATGGTATTTTCTCAGGAAAGCTTGAGACTTAATGCAGCCTTATGCAAGGATTGAGTTGACAGATACATGAGGAAGAAGATGGGGTGGTATGCGAAGTTTCGTGGTTCCTGTCAGAATCTCATCTCAAGCTTGTGGAGGGATTTAAAAACCAGAACTTTTCTTTAATGATTGTTGGTGGGAGTTCAGGTAACATGGGTTTGTGTTATAATTTTTTGATGTGTCATTGCATTCTGATATACAAACTAAACATAGTTCTGGCATTGAATAAAATATCAGGTCAAAACTCCTCACGTTTTTCGCTAACCAGCAAGTGTTGAAGAGCCAAAATTATAGTTTCTCTACAGTTTTCATCTATAGTTCCTCTGTGCCAACTGCATCTTCTAATGTCAATTCACCTTTGTATGCTCCAGCCTTTGATTTCACCTGGAAAAACAATTAAACTTGATTTGGCTATTGGATTAATGTAGTGGAAGCCAAGGATGCCAGATTTGCTGTCCAATGGAAGAAGTGGGTAGGTAATGAGCATAGAGAATAGTTTCCCATACTTAAGGGAGCCCTTCTCCCTCCTTTGGAAGCTGCAAGAGATACTTAGTATGTGAGGAAAAGCAAGCACGTTATTTCTGTTTGCAGCATTGCAGTATGCTAATTGCATTGGGAGTGAGGCATAAACTTGTGTTCTCTTGAAAAATGACTAGGACTAAATAGTTGAGGGAGTGCTGGCTTAGCGGTTGATTAAGCAAGGAGCTGAATTGGTTTGCAAGCCATTATGTTGTGGGGGAATGCAAATTTTAGGCTTGCAGGCCAGGCTTTGGTTGGAAATTGGCATTAGTAGAGGAAGGGGGAGAGTAAATGGCATATATGAACATGCCTTGGTGTCGGCACTAATCTTCTCCTTGATCACCTTACTTATGTTTTATATTGAGTGGCAAATACAAAGGCATAATAGGCCTACAAGATTGAGGATTTTTATCATCGCCATATTTGAGAAGCTTATAATTTGCTTAAGACTCCAAAATACATAAATACTCTGTGTTGAACTGAGAGATCTAGTGTCAGCTGCCCTCTGAATGGAAGAGGAGAGAGAGGTGAATTACACCAGGTTGTGAATCCCAGGAAGGACAAGGGAACAACTCTACCTACAAAGTCTGAAACTGTGAGTTTAGAAAACAAAACCCACAACTGATATAAAATTGAAAGGGGAAAAACAAGCTAATATATTTGAGAAAGAGGGGAAATATCTTTTTGCAGACCTGTGTGTAGAAAGAAGAAAAGCCTGTGGAGCAATAATCCTGAAAGACAGTAGGAAATGACGTCTCTCTCCCATGAGTGTTCAGGTGGGCTAGTGCAGCCTAATACCGTCTCTATAAAGGTACCTTATCAGAAATCGGATGATAGCTGCTTGTGCCCTGCTAGAACCCTATGGGAATGTTTGTATTTGCTGTGTATTGGAGAGGATCACAGTAAGTGGAACATAATTCTGAGGGAAGTGGCAACACTGACTTGTGAGAAGAGATCTCTCTGTGCGTGTATTCCAGGCTAGTCCAGAGGTTTCTTTACATTTATATTCAAAATCATAATCAAAGGGGGGGTGTGTGTGACAATTTAACCAAGTACATAATATAAGTTTATAACAGAGAGGGACATTTGGCAACGCTTGGAAGAGGAGCAAGTGTTCTGTGAAGGTGGTCGTGAATATCATTCAGATGGTCCAGAGGGAGAAATTAGATGCTGTGTTTTCCCACCTTGCTGACTTTGAACCTGAGAGCATGATACACAGGGAGCTGGAACAAGGGAAATGTAGCTGTGATAAATGCTTTTCAGCAATAGTCAGGGAAGCATTTGGGATTTTTCTTCAAAGTACAAGAAACTTGAGGAAATTTAGGAAATCCTGGAGTTCTGTGGCTTGTTGTAGATTTGGGATTGAGATAAATATGTATTACACATCTTGAAAAGAGAAAGTTCAGCGTTATTTTAATAGTCTTTTTCATATGTAAAGTGCGGGGGAAAGATTCTTATTTTGAGAGCTTTTCCGTGTAAACTGGACTCCAAAAGTTTGTCCTCCCTAAATAGGGAAAACTTTTTCTCTCTTAAAAACATTGCTCAAAGGAAAGTCACTGACAATGAACAGGGCTTGCAGCGTGTTAAGTTTGTGGTTCCCTTTGTACGTCCTGTGCCCCTTCCTGGTTACTGACCTTGCCACATGCGTTATTGCATGATTTTCTGTTGAATTCACATCAGGTTTACTTGCCAGTTTTTGAAAAAATAAATAATTCTTGTTCAGCTTGGGGTATGAGCTGCATTAAGAAGTTAGTGTTTCAAACTAGTTACATTATAAAAACTTAATAGTAGATGCTGAGAATAGGTTTCACGATCAATT